TATCATAAAGAAAGCCGATGTCTTAATCTCCATTCACTGTATTTCCATTAACTCAAGAATATTTGATGCAGTCAAATGCTAGAGACTTTGTATAAAGGTGTCACAAGTGCTAAGTGTAAAACACGGATTAGGTCGAGTCCAACACCCATTGCCAAATTCCAATTGGTTGCTAATTCGGAAAGACAATTAACACGTTACACAATCACGCATATATACATGTCACTTGACATTGCGTCAAGTTACACCCAAAATAAAATCGTGAATTTTTCTGCAGTGTTGGGTTTGTGTTCTCAATAGCATCCTCCAAACATGACGAATGCCTCAAGTCCACGATCTAACAAGCCATGCTTCGTTATGCTCTTAAAAAAGCCAAATTTCTCCGTAGCCGTAGAATCAGTGAGTGATACCCGGTACTACTCACACCTAAACAAATGAACTCACTCAGGCGCCATTCCAAGTCCCTCTCCCCTCCCCTCCTCCCCGACAAACTCCTCTATAAACCCACTTTCTAACAAATAGCCATCGTGATAAAGACGACGACTGCACGAGTTTAAATAAATCACCCAATTAAATTAAGGTGCCTTATTCATCAACTACCATCGTCCCAGTGGGAATTAAAGTAAAGCAAATATAACCAATTGTCGTTCCAAGTCAAGTCGAGTCATTACAGAACTAACTTAAAATGAGGTAATTCCTATTTCGATTGAAATCCCATTCATAATATGTGATATTTCATCAACCTAGGTAAAATTAGCTCCAAACTAATTACCCATTAAATAATATTAAGTGATTTTTTTCAAGCACACCTGCTGTCATGTTGCTCTCCTCGCTGCCTGTCCCCCGTCCAACCCCCAAAGGCTATTATCGAAGTTCTACCTGAGACTCATAAACGTGTTTTGCAGGATTATGCCAAAAATAGCTTTTCCTCCACCCAAGCGACTCTCTTTACATCCGTTATGGCTCTCTACAAAAATACACACTAAGTGGCGACACCTACAGCACCCACAACTTTAGCATTTACTCAATCAGCTACAACAGCTACAACTATAGCATTTATTCAATCTGGTGACTTGACTCATCAAAATTATCAGATCCTTCTCCTCACCCTTGCCGCAGAGGTCTCATCGTCATTTCATTCCACCTCCTCTCTCCCGCATTCCACTTCCCTCCTTTAAACTTTCTCCATCTCCTTCTTCTTCCACAAGTCCAGTCCAGTCCATACCAGTACAATGCAATGAGTTGCCCAAAGGAGCTGAAACAGTTGTCACTGGCGCACTGGAGCACTCAAAAAGTCTCAATCCTCCCAAGGAGGAGGCGTCTGTTTGCGACAAAAATCGACGCGAAGTGTTATAGACCTTAACAACAACAATCAAGCTCATTAATGCGCAAATACAAGTGGTGACACGCCTCATCACTGACGGAGAGTATCCACATCAAAAACTCGGGAGCCTCACTGTACCAAAAAATTATCTTTAAAACTCAACGCCAAACAATCCAATCAAGAAACTGTGGAGAACCATCGAACAGGCTATCACAAAAAGCCACAAAAAAATTTAATCACGCGAGCAAAAACGACACAATGTCAGCCTCAGCGGATAAACACGGTCAAGAAGAAAAACCGAAGAAGAACAGACCAAAAAAAACACAAAAAATCATTAAAAAAATTACTCAGAAAAAACCATACCAGGAAAAAACCACCCACACGCGGACAAAGAGAAGCCCCTATACCTATTACGTCCGCTTCGAAAGCAGTATGCCCACCTGCAATGAAGAAGCTGTGTCCTCGACTGGCCTTTGTTTCCACATCTCTTGCTCCTTACCGGAAGAAGGAGAAGAAGAAGAAGTCTCCTTTGTCCCTACCACTGTGCAGTCTGATTGATGAATGGCACCCTTCTCCACACGCAGTTGTTGTTGCTAACACTTTCTTTCTGCCATTCTCCATAATTGTCGACTGTGTTTGTGACACCGCCATTGCCTTCTGCTTGCAAAATCGTATTGCGGATCTCGCAGAACTGCATGCATTCAAGTCACATTTCAAAAGTTACTTGTCACTTGCGAGTCGCCGTATTTGGAACGATTAATTGCACTTATAGAATATATTTTTTGCCTTGACTGCTCTATTCTCTGCTTGCTTGTTTTTCTTCTTGATTACTTGCAATATCTAATCTAACATCTGAGTCAAATGCCTATTTTTCTGTTCTATTTTTCTTGCTACCATTTTAGAATTTTATTCCAACCTCCAATTTTTTTTAATTGATACACTGCCTAAGTTTTTTTTTTTCACTCCTCCTTTCGATCGTCTCTAAAAATGTTTCTTATGGCTGTCATATTGCGGATTCAATTTAACTGTGATTTTTTTTGCGTGTGGCATCTAAGGCTGCTTAATTTGTATGCTTTTAATGGCTAACGCCGAATTTATATTTGAACAAATATATCCTGCTGTCTTAGATTTTACATACATGTTTAGTCTTTTAGAATGGTCGATGCACTCTTTTTCATTAACTTGAAATTATCTTTCACATTCCGCATAATGCACGGTCGGTATTTGATGTTTCAATTTGTGATGCTGTCTTGCGTTTTATGCTATTGCATTTTTCACAGCCAACGACTTCACTGTTGGGCATGTTGAATTGAACTGTCGGAGGCCTGAGTGCTTGACTGTTAAAGCAAAACCCAAAGAATATTTGCTGAAGGTATGCAGCAAATCACACAAACATTTAGGTGAATCTGTTTTGCAAATTTCGTTTCCTGCACTCTGAGTTAACCAAAATTAGCCATAACGCTCCCATGCAAATACATTGGACAAATTCATATTTTCCCGAATAAGTTTTCGATTTTGGCTCCGGATCGTTGCTCTTAGTAGTGCTGTTCAGCCACACGAAATGCGTATTTACTTCTGGTGGCCACATAGGCTGACCACCACCAAACTTCGAACTGGTGGCATTAGTCCGATTTCACCGGTTGACTCTAACAGCATAAACCATCTGAATGACGTGTGCTAGTGAGTAAAAGACGTGGTAGCCTTGCCTGTTCACTCCCTCAATCTTTTTCATTGCCCATACTGGTAAGC